AAGTGTTTGGGACTATAGGGGTAAAGAAATCTAAAGTTATGGGGAAGAAGTAAAATGAAAAACTGTCAAGAAAGTTTCTCTCTTTACCTGACATGGTCAGAGAAGAAGAAACATCAACTATAGATGCAAGGGATGAAGAGACGATCCTAGTGGATGTCTGGGTGGCTGAAGCCAAGGAGCGCATGTGTCCAGTATGAAGGCCACTGGTCACACTGGTCACTGGCCACTTGCGATGATACAAATTTACAGGCTACCCTAAGATTCTACCAGGTGGCAGTAGGCTTGCTGAGAGAATGATGTCACAAAGCAGGCAGTTTAAAGGTGTGCGATAGCCAATAGGGAGGCCAGATCCCAGGAAGATGGGATTGGCTGGCAGAGGTGGTAGGAAAGCTGAAACAGTGCTAAGTGGCTGAGTTCCAGGGAGGTGAAATCTTGCAAGATCATCTTAGTGTTTCTTATACATGTTCACTAATATCATTGACTAATATTTATATTTTATATGTCATATTTCATACTATATAATGCTATACATTTATAATTGTATAGTACATACACAGTATCCTTGCAGAGAAAGGAAAGGGACATCTAAGCTGAGCAATTACCGTTGTTCTAAAAGGATTTCAGTGAATCTGATTAATGAATTTACTGCTGCTTTTAAGGGCCAAACGAAGACATTAAAGAACCCTCTTTTGTACCTTGGTTGAAGAGCAAAGTTCATTGACTGCTCCTTGTAGGAAATGATGTGGTCCAAAGCGCCTCTCTTTTAATTTCTTCTCCTTGAATCCTACCTTCCTTGGGCTGGCCCAGGCTCAATCAGGTTGGACTTGGATGTCTCTCCTGCTGTCCATTTTCCCCTTGATTTTAGGCATTGTTTCTGGGCCAAGCCTTGATCTTGCATTTTTACACTCGTGGATATGACTTCCTGTCAACTTCCAGAGCTGAGGTATCGTTTTCAGTGTTGGGACGTTTGGAAAACGGACTCTGCTCATGAGAAGCAAACACCAGAGAGGTAGAAGACAAGGCTGACTGCAGACCTTCCCTCTTCTAGCCTTTGTTCACAATTCTTTTGCCCAAGTTTGCTACGTCTGGCTCCGTGGGCCACACAGACATCCTGCCATCCTGCTCTTTTATACATGAGAGGCATTCAGGGTACTTTCTTTCTTCTCACGTAAAAGGATCCAGTGTGGCAGTTACTTATAGCCTTCTCGCCATTGCAAACAGTCACTGCAGAATCTTGGGCCTTTAGAATTCCCTGTCAGCCATGCTTGGGTGCAAGGACCAGGCAAAATGAAGAGTTGAAGAATTTAGTGGAGAATGGGAAAGAGGCCCAGTGAGGGTACAAGAACAAAGAGATTTGGGTGGATTTTTTGGTTAGTGTGAGAAACAATTACACACACTTATTTTGTATTAACAGAACAGATAATTCAGTATTTTGTATGTAGCTAGATAGTCCAGAAACTTCCATGACTTTTGTACACTAAAGAAAATAATCATAATATATTTTTTCCATTTTGTTTTATGTCATATTGCCTCATTTATATCATTCATTAGTATGTCTATAGAATGTAGATTGCTTTTATTTTATTATTTTTATTTATTTATTTTTGAGACAGTGTTTCATGCTTGTCTCCCAGGTTGGAGTGCAGTGGCATGATCTCGGCTCACTGGAACCTCTACCTCCTGAGTTCAAGGAATTCTCCTGCCTCAGCCTCCAAAGTAGCTGGGATGACAGGCACCCACCATCATGCTGTACTAATTTTTGCGTTTTTAGTAGAGATAGAGTTTCACTATGTTGACCAGACTGGTCTCAAACTCCTAACCTCAGGTGATCTGCCCACCTCAGCCTCCCAGCGTACTGGGATTATAGGTGTGAGCCATTATTCCCGGCCTGTAGATTGTTTTTAAATGCCCTGGTTGTTCTGCATGTTTTTACCCTGTCATATTTTTAAGGAATACAATATTGTAAGACATACTGCATGTTTTTCTCATAATGGCTGTTTCTTTTGAGACATCATGAACTATTTTGGCCTGATAGGTTTTGTGGAGGAAATCAAAGAGGGATGTGTGAAAAAGGCACTGTGGTGAGTTGTGCTGTGTGCTCAAAGAAAGAAAGAGATGTCTGCAGTCAGCTCAAGTTGACCTGGATTGCCTTGGTTTTTGTTTTTCTAGTTAGTGCTTTTCTCACTAACTTCTTTTATAACTGTGTAAAATGAGTTAGGGCCGAGTTGCTGGTGATTTCTGTGTGGAATCAGCTGGTTTGGGGGAGGAAATCTATGGATATAATCATTTACCTTGGAGGTAAGCTTTTAGAGACACCTGAATTGATCTTTTTTTTTTTTTTATTATTGAGATGGAATCTCGCTCTGTTGCCCAGGCTGGAGGTCAGTGGCACAATCTTGGCTGACTGCAATCTCCAACTTCGGGGTTCAAGCAATTCTCCTGCCTCAGACTCCTGAGTAGCTAGGTTTACAAGTACACACTACCACACCCAGGTAATAATTGTAATTTTAGTAGAGGTGGGGTTTCACCAGGTTGGTGAGGCTGGTTTTGAACTCCCGACCTCAGGTGATCCGCCCACCTTGGCTTCTCAAAGTGCTGGATTATAGGCATGAGCTACCACGTCTGGCCCTGAGTTGATCTATTGAGGGACTTTTCTAGTATGTGTGAGAAGGTACAGAATGCCCAGAGCCCACAAGAGGATAAACTCAAGATGGGACCTCTGAAGATAAGTATTGCCTTTATAGACCTATTTTCTCATCTCTTCCAATAATGCTTCTAGTACTATGAGATAGGAATTATTTCCGTGATCGTATGTGGGTGGCTGATGCTTATCTGAGAAAATATTCAGAAAGGGCTGGCAGTGTAGAGTTAGGCTTAAGCTATACAAGGTTTTGAAGTTTTATTTTCCCCCTTTAAGCTTAGTTTCATGCCTCAGATAGCCTGCTTTCATGCTTGTGTGTAATGTGAGACAAATACACACCAAGTATGTGCAAGCTAGACTAGTGTCTGTTTTCTCTATGTTCCAGTGGAAATCAAGGAAATCTATAGCTACTACAGACTATACTGGTGGTATAAGGTGGGAGGAGTATAGTAAGATTATTTCTGATGGCAATAAAATGTTTACTTATTAAAATATTCAGTTCTAACATTCAATTCTAGTTAGGCAAATGCTTATCATAGGTTGACCTTTCTTGGTCCCCAGCCTCTATAATGATACTCTGTCCATAGTTCCAGCCACTTAACAATCGCCTTCAGTCTTAATATCATCTTAACCTCTAAATCTTAAATGTAGGATAAAGACCCTGAAGAGCTTTAGCACAACACTCTGGAACTTAGCTGTAAGTTTTACCATAACCTAAAGCCTCAATATTATAGTTAGGACTTTGTCTTGTTTCAGAAACCTACTCCCTGCATTATGACTTGTACTTGGTGTAACGTAACCAGTCCTTCTACCCATCAGACCCTTCCTACTCTATCCATAGTCTCTTTCTGGTTTTATTGAAGACTGGAATCCCTCAATCTCCGATATGGTATCTGGGGCCCTAGCAGATACTGGTAGACTTGTCAGTATCCACTGCTTAGCTGTTTGGTGCTCTAAGTATGCCTTGCTCCTGTGATTTCCACCCCAGAGTACTGTACACTTGTGAAGGCATTCTTCTTCCTCATGTTGGACTCAGTCTCATCTAAAGACCTACTCTTTGTCAGATCCCATGCTTTGTAGAAACCCTATTCTGCCTAAGTCTGGGTTTTGTTATGTCAACTGTAACTGAGTTTGTTCTCACCCCAGTGTTGTGTCTTTTAGGAATCTGAAAGTGTAAGCCCAATATAGCTTTTCTGGTTTCTGAAAAACTTAGGTCATATTTTCTATCTTGTCAGGTCTATAGACATTTGTACCATATGTAGAATTGGGCCACTATGCACTTACTGGATTTTTTCATAAATTCCAAAAGACTATTGTATTATTTGTATATTTAATTTTTTGGAGCTGGAGTCTTGGTGTGTTGCCCAGGCTGGAGTGCAATGGCACGATCTTGGCTCACTAGAACCTCCACCTCCTGCGTTCAAGGGATTCTCCTGTCTCAGCCCCCATGTAGCCTGGACTACCGGTGAGAGCCACCACGTCTGCCTAATTTTTGGGCTAATTTTTGTATTTTTAGTAGAGACATGTTTTTACCATGTTGGCAAGGCTGGTCTCAAACTCCTGACCTCAAGTGATCCACTTGCTTCGGCCTTCCAAAGTGCTGGGATTACTGCCATGTGTCACTGCGCCCTGCCAGAATCTTTTATAATTGAATGGCAAATTTGAATGTGGACTGGGTGCAGTGGCTCACGCCTGTAATCCCAGAACTTTGGGAGGACAAAGCAGGCAGATCACTTGAGGTCAGGAGTTCAAGACCAGCCTGGCCAACTTGGTGAAACCCCACCTCTACTAAAATTACAACAATTAGCCGGGCATGGTGGTGCACGCCTCTAGTCCCAGCTACTCAAGAAACTGAGGCAGGAGAATCATTTGAACCCAGGAGGCAGAGGTTGCAGTGAGCTGATCATGCTACTGCTTTCCAGCCTGTGTGACAGAGCGAGATATCATTTCAACAACAACAACAACAACACATAATTGAATGTTCCTAATTGTATGTTTGCTATGTTCGGCTAACATGTCTTTTTCTTTTTCCAGTTAAAAATTTATTAATATTGACACATTTCTAATGATGTGGAAATTTTCAGAATTGTAAAGGTTTATGTATTTAAAACTGGTTGTAATATTACTGTCTCAAAAGTGTTAATAAAGCTAATGGTCTACCTGTGTTAATGTTCATTTATTCAATAACTCTGACCTTTCTGATCCTTGGTTTACCCAACTCTAAAATGGTTGCAAAGATTGCTAAAAATATATGTAAGATACTTCCATAAATTAGAAACTAAAAAGTAAAAGTTAGTTTTAAAAATCTGCAATCCTAATTACTTACACTTTAATCTGGAATTTAGTATTCTGTTTTCAGAGTTGCTATAGGGCATGCTGTTCTTTGCCGTTCCACTTGTAGCAGAATTCAGTGTTTTCTGACAGGTACAGATCTTTATGCTTGAGACTGTGTGGAAACCTTGGACTTGAGCTCCACTCTCGGTTATTTTTGGTGTTTTCTAATACCTAACTACATTCTGTCCACTTCTAGCATGATACCTGGTATGTGATAGAACCCAGTAAAAGTTTGGTTGTGATGGGAGTGGATGTTTATGCATTATTTTTGGAGGATAATTAGGTAATGTCTTTCAAAATTTTAAGTTTGTATGCTTTTTATTCTAGACATTCTACTTCTAGGAATTTAGATATAGCTGTGTATGTGTATGTGTATGTTCACATTGCAGCATTGTCTGTAACAAGATTTCAAAAGAACCTGAAAGCAACAAAGGTTCATTAACATTGAACTGGCTGAATACATTATGGTACTTTTAATTATGTTACTGATAATCCAATAAATTCCTTATGGCCACTAAAAATAGAATGTAAGTATGTATAAATTGACTGGGAAAATCAGTGTTCGAGATAAATTGTAGAATATGTTTAGTTACTCCTTTTGTATAAAAATAGAGGACATACATATGTGTGAAAGTAAATATTTATACACGATATGCAAAATGTGAATGTAAGCACTTGTAACTATCTAGAACACACAAAGAAGGTGGGGAGGTGGTGCTCGGGGGAGTTACGGGGCGGGGACAGACGGACATTCCTGTGCCACACTGTTTGAATTCTGAAGGGTGCATGCACACCCTCATTGACCTGTGCTACCAGCCTTTGGCTAAAGAGGGCGCTGTAGCCACCAAAGTCTTGTTTACAAATCAAGCGTCTCAGTAAGTCTTCGTGGTTACGCCCTCACGACCGACATGCGCAATAGCGAGACGCCGGAGCTCTGCGTGGGTGGCTTCCGAGTCTCTTTAGGACTAGAGTCCTATCCTGGCACTGAGGGTGCCGGATTGTCGCTTTTGGCCGGCTTGGCATTGGGTAGGCGGCTTCTTGGGACCCACATGAGCTAATGGCATCATCCCCGCAGTGGCTGGGTTCAGGGACGCGACTTTCCTGGAGGCTCCTCAGCCAAGAAGAAGAGCGGAAACCACGTCCCAGAAAGGTAATATGTCTTGGGCCCTTGGCATGTCCTTTCCAGCTCATGGCTTCTGGGCGTGGGCTTCATCTTTTGTGGTCTCTGCGTCTCGCTTTTGCTGTCACAGGCTTGGCTTGTCCGCCCCTTGCTTTGAGGCTTTTACCCTCTTCGCCACCCGCTTTAGCTAAAAGGGGCAATGTCTGTGATGTCCTGTGATTTCTCCTTGTTCTTGTAAAAGTGAGGTTCTGGCCAGTGCTCTTATGTAAAATACGGAAGGATTGCTTTAAGGCGGGACTGTTACTTTTGGGGACACTCCTTAATTCCCAAAATAGAACCTCCTCAATTCCTTGTTACTTGGCACGGGAAGCGTAATGATTTGAGTTAGGAACCCAGCATTAGTAGCACCCTGTGATCTCACATGGAAAATTGGTTTGTATTGTTTTCAGAAATCACAAAGAGCATACGCTGTTAGCTCCTAACAGGCCTCATTTGAGAGATGTTCCTTTATACGTACAAATGATTGATTTTGAGATTGCACGCATGTGCAGATAACTGCTTTTACTCCTTGAAACCATCCTCCACCATCTCATACCTCAGTAACTCCTCTTCATTTTGTCTCCTACCCTTTGACTGTCAGCTTCTGTCAGCATTCTAATACAGGTCTTGCTAACCTACTGCAGGTTGGTTCTAATTAGTGTATCTCTTGTTAATTTCCATCCAACCATTGTTTTTTTGTTTTTTGTTTTGTTTTGTTTTTTTGAGACGGAGTTTCACTCTTGTCCCTCAGGCTTGAGGTCATTGGCTGGATCTTGGCTCACCACAACTTCTGCCTCCCAGGATCAAGCGGCTCTTCTGCCTCAGCCTCTCAAGTTGATGGGATTACAGGCCCCTGCCACCACTCCCATCTAATTTTTTTGTATTTTTAGTAGAGACGGGGTTTCAGGCTGGTCATCAGGCCGGTCTTAAACTCCTGACCTCAGGTGATCCACCCTCCTTGGCCTCCCAAAGTGCTGAGATTACAGGTGTGAGCTGGTGCCCCTGGCCCAATCCGTTGTTCACGACAACAAAAATCTTTTTTTTTGGAGACAGGGTCTTGCTGTGTCACCCAAGCTAGAGTGCAGTGGCACAATCATAGCTCACTGCAAGTCAGCTTCTCAGGCTCATTCAGTCCTCCCACCTCAGCACTCCTGGTAGCTGAGACTACAGGTGTGCACTGCCATGCCCAGCTAATTTTGTATTTTTTTTTTTTTTTAATAGAGATGGGGTTTCACCATGTTGCCTAGGCAGTTCTTGAACTCCTGGTGTCAAGCGATTCACCTGCCTCAGCCTCCCAAAATTCGGGGACTGCAGGCATGAGCGACTGTGCCTGGCCAAGAGATCTTTTTGACAGGTGATTGCTAAAAATTGAAATTGAATTGGAATTGGAATATTGCTCATGAGCATTGCTCTTAACGTTGTTTCAAGACTGAAAAAGAGCCAGCCATGGTAGCTCATGCCTGCAATCCCCACACTTTGGGAGGCTGAAGTGGGTTTGATCACTTGAGGTCAGGAGTTCAAGACCAGCTTGGCCATTATGGAGAAACCCTGCCTCTACTAAAAATAAAAAAATTAGGTGAGCGTGGTGTCGGACCCCTGTAATCCTAGCTACTTGGGATGCTGAGGCACAAGAATGGCTTAAACTGGAGGTTGCAGTGGGCCAAGATCATGCCACTGCACTCCAGCCTGGGTGACAGCAGGAAACAATCAAAAAAAAAAAAAAAAAAAAATTTAAGAGTAAAAGTGAACTTTTTGTCTATAATACAAGTTTGTGCATGATCTGGGATCCCATCTCCTTCTCCAGCCCCATTTCTTGCCACTCTTGCTTATCCTCACTTTCTATGCATCATATGTACAGAATTAACCCTAGTTAATTCTTTTTTTTTGAGATGGAATTCTGCTCTTGTTACCCCGGTTAGAGTACAAGAAATTGCAAAGGATCTGAACAGATAATAAAACTATTTCTCTTGGAAAATGGGGAAAATCTCAGTGTGGTTAAAGTGGTACGTTAGTACGAGTTCTCCAGAATGATAGAACAAGTAGGATGGATGCATGGATGGTTGGATGGATGGATGGGCCATTGGGTGAGTAGGTGGGTGGGTGGGTGGCAGGACTTTTTTATTACGGGAATTAGCTTATGCACTTAGGAAGGCTGAGAAGTTTCATAGTAGGCTGTCTGTAAGCTGGAGAACCAGGGAATCTGGTAGTGTTCAGTCCAAGTCAGAAAGCCTCAGAATCAGGGAAGCTGGTGCAGTAACTCTAAATCCAAGGCTGAATGCCTGGAAATCCGGTAAGATTTGGAGAACACTGGTGGGAGTCCTCAAGTCCAAAGGCCAGGAAGACTGGAGTTCTGATGTCCAATAGTAGGAGAAGGTAGGGTATTCCAGCTCCAGGAGAGAGCACAATTTGCCTTTCCTCTGCCTTTTGTTCTGTTCAGGCCTCTGGCCTATTGGACGGTACCTACCCATGCTGAGGATGTATCCTCCCACTCAGTCCACCCACTCATATACCAGTATCCTCTGGAAACACCCTCACAGACACTCCCAGAAATAATACTTTACCAGCTATCTAGGTATCTCTTAATCCAGTCAAGTTGACACCTAAAATTAACCATCACAAATAGCAAGGTATTATTCTTTGCCTCTTAATTTAGCAATAGGTTTTCTTTGTTTATTTTTGTTTTTGGAGACAGAGTCTCGCTCTGTTGCCCAGGCTGGAGTGCAGTGGCACAATCTTGGCTCACTGCAACTGCCACCTCCCAGGTTCAAGCAATTCTCCTGCCTCAGCCTTGTGAGCAGCTGAGATTACAGGTACCTGCCATCACACTGGCTAATTTTTGTATTTTAGTAGAGATGGGGGTTTCACCATGTTGACTAGGCTAGTCTTCCAACTCCTGACCACAGGTGATCTATCTGCCTCGGCCTCCCAAAGTGCTGGGATTACAAGCATGAGCCACCACCCCTGGCCAGTTTAGCAATAGTTTTTGATAGGCACTCTAGTGTAGTGGTTGTCAGGCTGGACCTGGTTTTACATCTGGGCTCTGTTACCTGCTTTGTGATCTTGGGTAAGATACTTAGCCTGTCTACATCTCCATTTTTCCATCAGTCAGATGGAGATTTTAATAATACCCCATAGTGGTTATTGTTGACAGTTAACGTGGATTTAAACAGTTAAGCACATTGTAAACACTTTCAAAACTGCGTTGGCATTTTTAGGCCATGTGTGTTGGCTCAGCACTTAGGGAGGCCGAGGTGGGAGGATTGCTTGAGCCCAGCAGTTGGAGACCAGCCTGGGCAACATGTTGGAACCCTGTTTGTTTGTTTCTTTTCTTTTTTGAGTCAGATTTTCACTCTTTTTGCCCAATCTAGAATGCAATGGTGCAGCCTAGGCTTACCACAACCTCCGCCTCCTGGGTTCAAAGGATTCTCCTGCCTCAGCGTCCTGAGTAGCTGGGATTACAGGCATGCACTACCCACTACATCCAGCTAATTTTGTATTTTTAGTAGAGATGGGGTTTCTCCATGTTTGTCAGGGTGGTTTCGAACTCCTGACCTCGGGTAATCTGCCCACCTCAGCCTCTCAAAGTGCTGGGATTACAGGCACAAGCCGTCATTCTTGGCCTGGAACCCTGTTTTTATTAAGAAAGAAAAAAGCACTTTTAAAAATTTACTTTTTTTTTAAGGTGTTTTGTTTTTGTTTTTTTGAGACAAGAGTCTTGCTCAGCCTCCAAGGCTGGAGTGCAAAATTGCATTCTTGGCTCACTGCAACTTCCGCCTCTCAGGTTCAAGAGATTCTTCAGCCTTAGTTTCCCAAGTAGTTGGGATTATAGGCTTGCACCACCAGGTCCAGCTAATTTTTGTTTGTTTGTTTGTTTGTATTTTTACTAGAGACAGGGTTTCACCATGTAGGCCAGGCTGGACTCAAACTCCTGATGTCAGGTAATCCACTCGCCTCAGCCTCCCAAAGTGCTGGGATTACAGGCATGAGCCATCGTACCCAGCCTAAAACTTGACCTTTTTAAAAGATGTAAACAAACATTTTAAAAACATGTTGCTAGTGGCATTGAAAATTGGTTTAAGCCTTTTGAAGCACAATTTCAAGAGCCATAAAAATGCTTTACCTAGTAATTTCATTTTGAGACTAAGGATATACTTCAAAATGCAGAAAAAGCTACATTTACTGAATCCTTCAGCACATTTCTCAAGCCCCCTACCTTGTGTAGGACCCTGGGCTAGCTCAGGATCCGGTAGTCTATGTTTTGCAATGTTAATCCCAGCATCATTTGTGGTTGTGGAAAAACTTGTAGCTGCTGTATTTCCAACAGTGGAGAATGTACCTAAGTAATGATTATGTCCGTACTATAGCATTTTCTAAAGCCATTGAAAGTGGTAGCTTATTTATGATAAGTGAAAATAATAGGCTGTGATTCAACAGTCAAAAAAAGATGCTGGGGAAAAGAACGAAAGGAAATACTAATTAATTGAATTATAGTGAGTGGGATTGAGGGCTCTGCAGCAGGGGGTTATTTTTTCTTTTCTCAGATTTCCAAATTTTCTTTTGTATAAACAAGTAAATTTGAATCTTGTTTTTTCAGATTTGTTGCATGTACCATGGTTAAAGTTGTTCTATACTTTATAATTTATGTACATTTGTTTATAAAGTGGAAGCAGCTGTTTTCAGAACTAAATAGCTTATTGTGTCTTATGTCAATCCTACCAGACTTTGGGGGAGAGAAAGTATTTAATTAGAATAGTATGGGCACGCATTCCATGCATTTATCACTGTAGGGAAAGGTGGAAAGGCTTCTGGGAATCCACTCTGTGCCAGGGCATTGTGGGTAATTGAAATGTATTTTCTTAATTTAGCTTCATAACAGCCCATGAAGGTGGAAAGTGTTATTAGCCCCACGTGTGACCTTAGCAGATAAACTACTCAACTTTTATTTCCCTGAGTTCTTTATAGGGAAAAGAACTTAGAGAAATAAAAGTTAAGTAGTTTATCTGCTGTGGTCATGCAGGTAGGAAACAGTAGAATGTATATAATTTTGTAAATTTATGAATTTAAAATATAAAAATACAAATTTAAAATAAAAATTATTTCGTTAATCCTAGTAATGGCTTATTACTTCTTGTTTTGCTTTAAGAACGTTTTCACGGAATCCAAATGTTTACCAGAGAGGCCATTTCCCTCCTCCTGGTACCCCTGGAGAAGGTTATTCACACAGGAGGTACACTTGGAATGTGAAGCCAAATGCCAGTCGAGCAGCCCAGGAGAGAAGAAGGTGGTGTCCTGACAATGCCTAATTACTCCGAACTATCCTATCCAGCCTATTGGGAATGGACCCGGTGATACAAACCTGTCTTGGAATTGCACCTGGAGACCCGAGCTGGCCTGAAGATTACTGGTAGGACTTTTAATTAGATCAGGTCTAATGAGGTTTCTTTATTGTTCCCTTATGTGTTTAAGCTTGAGGAAAAATTAAATTGCTATTTACCTCTGCTGATAAATTTGTGGTAAAAATACAGTATTGCAGGAAAAAAGTCTGTTATTTCAGTCTTGTATATTTCTAAAGGATAACCATATTTTAGAACTGAAACATTAAGAATTTCCCTTGCAAATTATTTTTTTAAATTCTATCTTGTTTTTCTGTGTATTTCTTTCTGACTAGAATTGTGATGTGTATTTATATACAGAAATTTTTATTGTTTTTATTATGTTCTGTTATTGACTCAAGTGATATCTTTATTTTCTGTAACTGTTCAAAATTTCTATTAAAATTGACGTATGAGATAATTCCTTTAGAACCGGGTTACTATCTGTAATTAATAGTATGTTTTCTTTGTTTTCTTTTGAGGTGGAATCTCACTCTGTCTCCCAGGCTGGAGAGTATTGCCAATTGAGCAAGAGAGACTGACTGATAAACCAGATTGCTGATTTATTAAATTATAGTGAGTAATTTACCTGGCAGTGTCATTGTCATCAGCTGCGTAGAACTATCTGGAAAACTTGAAAACTTTTATAGATTGTAAAGGTTACTTGATGAACAGAGTAGAATTATGTCGATTTAAAGCCTGAGGATATCTGGCAAGAGTACTGTGTTATTATTGCTCCACTGTTGAATATAACCTCCTGGGATCTTTCTCCAGTTGCCTCTTACAGTGAAGTTGTGGTTTATTCCCTTCCCCCCACCACCCCCTGCCCCGAGACAGAGTCTTGCTCTGTCACCCAGGCTGAAGTGCAGTGGTGCCATCTAAGCTCACTGCAAGCTCTGCCTCCTGGGCTCAAGTGATCCTCCCACTTCAGCCTCCCTAGTAGCTGGGGGCTACAGGTGTGGATGGACTACCATGCCTGGCTAATTTTTTCTACAGACCAGGTTTTGCCATCTTGCCCTTAGCTCAAGCAAATCCACTCACCTCAGCCTCCCAAAGTGTTGGGATTACAGGCATGAGCCACTGTGCCTGGCCTACCTTTGCTTTTTCTGAGTTGTCTCTTCTGCTGCTATACCTGTGGAACACACAGACAGATCATTTGGGAGGGTAATTATTTTTACTTGCAGAGCAAGCTAGAAACCTTTGCTGGCTCAAAGAAGTGTTTCATTATCATAACACATAGTAAGCCTTAGTAAATACTTGATGACTACTTGCACAACTTGGCTTCATTTCAGTTTTTTCAATTTTTATTTTTATTTATTTATTTTTAAATTTTTGGTAGAGATAAGGTCTCACTTTGTTGCCCTGGCTGGTCTTGAACTCCAGAGCTCAAGCGATCCTCCTGCCTTGGCCTCCCAAGAGCTGGGATTACAGGCATAAGCACTATGCCTGACCATTGGCTTCATTTTTTTAAATACCTGATTTTGAGGATTTGTGTCATTGAATGTCTGATGTTGTACATGTTGTTTTCTTCTTTCTCATCTGTGAACAATGTCTGGACCCTGATCTTAAGGAGATACTGTAGCTCAGCTGTTCTTGTCTGTAACTGATTAGCTCAGTCAGGCTGCTGTAGTAAGAACCCCAAAAGTTAGGTTCACATACCTGATGTACAGTAAGCCAAACAATGACATTAATGCTTAGGAAGGCTTATTCAATTTGGCCAAAGTATGAGGGTGGGAGAGTCGAAGTCTCAAATCTGACTTTCTTTTTCATGTAATTGGAGGCTTTCCTTGATGATCAAAGCTGTTTGTGTCTCTCAGCCAGTGAAAGTTGTGGATGCCATCAAGGATGTCAGCATGACCTAAGGATCAGTTTTCTTTAAAAAAAAAAAAAAAGTACATTAATCTTGTTGGCAGCTTCTGAGGATTAGGATATGAAGTTAATCACTTGTTAGTGACTACCCTCTACCAAAATGACTACGTGCAAGCAATCCTGCCTGGAAAAAGTTAAGGATAAAGAGAAAGAAAAATAAATGTAATAAATATCTGACAATATGCTGTGTTATAGTATCCCCACTGACATTGTTCCATTCCTCAGTCTTGAGGTGTTGACTCAGTCTAACTACTTCCTGATGGCAAGGGGCATTCCTAGTGGGCCGAGGAATGGAACTGATTTACCTGCAGTTGAAAATATTCACGTCTCAGGACTTGGGCAGTTTTGTCGTTAACATAATTGAACAGGGTGTCAGGAGCTTCAGAGAGGCAATCTTGCAATTCCATATATATAGTGCAGCAGCAGTATAATCTACAACCAAGGAGTATTCCTGTTTCTATAGTCATAGCTAGAATTACCAGTAATTATTTCCACCAAGAGGGTCGTCATGACCAGACCCATGAGGATAATCACTGGTTTAGTGACATCATAAAGTTGGACATAGCATCAGTGTGTACATATTTGAAAGGTTGAATTATTTTTTCTTTGAGTATATACCCAGTAGTGGGATTGTTGGGTTGAATACTGGTTCTTTTTCACTTCTTTGAGAAATCCCCCAATTGCTTTATACAGTGGCTGAACCAGTTTGCATTCCTACCAGCAGTGTATAAGCACTCCCTTTTCTCTGAAGCCTTGACGGCATCTGTTATTTTTTGATTTTTTAATAATCAGAATTCTGACTGGTGTGAGATGTTATCTCTTTGTGGTTTTGATTTGCATTTCTCTGATGAATAGTGATGTTGAGCATTTTTTCATGTTTGTCAGCTGCTTTGACATCTTCTGTTGAGAAGTGTCTTTTCCTGTCCTTTGCTCCCC